TAAAGCTAATGGGGCCAAAAATCTTTGAATCTATAAACCATACTAATGTATAAAAAATACCGACATTTGTTATGAAGGTCTTATTCTGGAGATGTTACTAGGATGCTCCCACACGCCGGACGGTGTTTTTGGCTTTTGGCCCTAGATTGCATACCTCCAGTTAGTATTCTTTGCCTATTCGAAGTATTTGCGCCGCTTCTTTGGGGACAGCTCCAGTGTTCATTTACTTCCTTGCGAGTATTCATTTACTTCCTTGCGATATGCGATATGCACCGGTTCTCAACAGTGCAAGTTTATTTGAACAGAAAAAGTAAAAGCGTGCAAGTAAAAAATTTATTTCCAAGATGCATATAAACAAACAGGTTTGAACTAAACACAGTAACAGAATAAAAAAACATTCATCGGAAGCAGTGAAATACGGGGAATGAGCAGGGAAGGAGAAAAAACATTGCTAGCCCCTTCCTGTAGCGTGTTGCTTTTTCAAGGGAGCAAAAAGTGAACATTATAAATGTGTTTTTTAAGGAAACTAGACAAACCGCTTGTTTTTTTGTCTTTCCCTCAATTTAAGTTAAAAACTTTTTTTTGCATAATTATATTTCTGAGGGAGAGTTGGAAAAAAAAACAGCTAGCCCCTTCCTGTGGCGTGCTGCTTTTTTAAAGGAGCAAAACCCGAACATTATAAATGTGTTTTTTAAGGAAAAACCAGACAAATCGCTTTTTTTTTAGCTTTTTCTCATTTTAAAGTTGAAATTTTGACAAAATTGCACTCCTGAAATAAAATTTCCTTAAACTTAAAAAATCTTACATTTATTTTTTAGGATGATTTTCTTGGCCAGTGATAGTAATAATCAAGCTCACGTGTAACCCTCATTTTCCCTCGCTCAAATGAAGTACACTGCGTAAATCACTGCAACAAATCTCATAAAGCTCGTTCGAAACTGAACACAATAATATTGATATGCAAATTTCTTTTAAATTATTAGTTGATTACAAAAACACATCGAAAAGGTGATGGATGTACCGACTTGAAGATATGCAGCTCAGGATCGAACGGTGCTTGGCACTGCTCTGCCGGGTCTGAGGGAGCATCCCACGCAACAACGTCAGCACGAACTTCCTGTAGCTATTGTCCAGGCGGTCCTTCTGTTCCTGGTTTCTCAAGGCTAAATTAATAGTCGCAAAATACTAGGTATTTTTGCTTTATCAGTGAAATATGGCATATTGGGCTGGTCAAAAAGAACGTCGGATGATCACCACTAGATGATGCGCATTGGCCAAACAACCATGGAATTAAGAAATAAGAAAATTTCACGAATGTCAGGTGCTCCACTGGAGAGCATTCCGAATATGAAATTTAGGTAAGTTTCGATGAAAAGCGCATTTCCAAGTAATTTTTGTAAAAACGCGCTTTCTGTCACCTCAAGATTGAATAGTTCCACTAGTTATTTTACAAAGATATGGAAATATTTGAAAATCAGTGGCGTATCGAGAAGGGATAAGGGTGCTCAGAAGGTGGCTTTTTTGTTTTGAAGAGGCAATACTTTTTTGGGCTGTGAATTTGGAAAAATGCATAGAAATGAGTAAGTTGGCATGGATTTCCACTAGAAGTGCATAAAAAGTTAAATAAACAGGCCAAATTTACTTAAAACGGCGCAAAATCATACTAAAAAAGTATCAAATCTTCTGGAAATCTCTTACTTGCGTTGAATCGTAAAAGGATAAATTCAAAAGTGTGAAAATTTAACGTGTATCATGTGAAATGGAGGCAAAGTTTAAAAAAAAGTATCATTTCAGCCAATAATCAATAGGCTGTTTTGCACAAAAGTAGTCAGTCTTGAGCTGTAGATCTCAACCGGAAGCTGGATACGCCACTGTTGAATACGGTGTTACATTTGAGGTATATTGAATAACTGGGTGATTATTACATTCTCCAGCTACCCTGATTAAAACAAGCTAAACTACACAATTATATTTAGAGCAAACGAAACAACCTTGCTGGAAGGCTGACCAACAAGCAGTACAGCATTGGTAAAAACAATCAAGAAACGAAAAAAGAAAGAAAATGATATGATTTTCGACTCCAACGCTGGGAATCAGTGGTGAACTAGTTGTTTTAAATATCAAATAACTCTATACAGGATTGTTAAAGGCGTATTAAAAATCAGATTGAAAAAAAATGAGACTCATTAAATACTGAAGCCTAATTCTGCCAGTGAGGCAGCTAGTCTGTTTATGATTCGTCTCGATGATAAATTGGTACTGGCGTATACCAATGG